GGTAAAAAAAACAAACTTTACTTCGGTACCACAATCCTATAATAATGACTGTCCAAAGAGAGACTCTGGAGTTAATCGATATCTCGACAGATGGCGCTTTGAAATAATCATTCGAGCACGTGACTTTTTATGTCACTCGCGACGTCAGATTCAGACAATCAACACGCCCATATAAGTACGACTAATGAGGCATATTTTGTAACGCTCGGCCGCTGCGACACACCAACAGAGCTCAACTCCGAGAGCAGAACTGCAACAAGAAGACTTGGGTCTGTCCCTTTTGCCTTCTTAATAGCACAAGAAGAAAGTGTCACCTTAAGTATATCCTGGCCACCTTGAAAGGTAGGTTAAAAGCCTTAATATGAAGCATTTATGAAACAATGGCCATATCTTGCCTTCATCTTTAAAACATACTCCCTTCCGACCCACTCAACGCAAACGACGCCGCATTATGTACTTTACTTCTTACAGGTAGCCCCTCCCTCCCATGCCCTAGTAACTGCTGTATCTTTGATATTGTGTTCAGCTATATTCACCACTCTGGAAGATTTGACCAATCTCATTAATGTTATGCTATAGGTATTGGTGCGCCAGCCACTTTCATTTCATGTTTATGTTATACTTTATGTTATCTTTATGTTTACTTTTGAAATATGTTTTATGAGCAGCGGATTCACATAATATAAGCACAATAAGTGCTTCCTATCCAATGCTCAAAAATCCATGTGAATAAAATAAAATAAAATTTATAAAACAAAAATACCTTGTCTTTATCACACTAAACGGAAACACATCAGCCATTTTAAAAAAAATTGAATTCAAACAACTGAATCAAGTCTCTAAATATTCTAAACGTTTCAGATAGCATCCAGTAACTAAAAATGAGAAGAAACCATAATCTGTAAGGGTATCGGAATGGTATGTAAATAAGGATAATAAAGGTACCGGTGGACACCTTGTTTTTAGAAATATTAGTGAAAAATTATTTTGGTTGTAATATTACTCCATGTCAGAAGGAAGATTGTATTATAATATTAAACTAACTAACCTGAGCTTTTAACAAAGCTCTTTAGACAGCCAGCAATATTGTGCATTGGAACAATTTCCACGAATTGGTGCAGGGAATCTCTTAACCTCAGTTTATCTACTATTTTCAAGCGATCAAATCTGGATTCTTGCGAGCAAAACAAGCTACGAGCCAAGAACTAATTGGCACTATGTGTAAATAGCATAGATGCAGTGCAGATGCAAAGTACGTTAAAAACAAAGCCATAAGTAGCAGATGCTAAATATATTGCGTATTGCGACATACGTTGCCGGGTACTGTTAAAACACATTGTTTGAAACACCACAAAACCTAGTACTACTATTCTGGGCTACTGTGGAACAACTTGCCCGGTCTTTTACAGAATGTCTACTTCTCTTCTGGTTCTAGTTCCCGAGAAAATCGGAGAACTAAAAAAATTATATTGTTGTGTTCTCATTTGAGCTTCTTGTATCTTAAACGGCACTAAAAAAATTCAGTTAACCCTCAACAGTACACCTTCCCGGACTGATTAATCTGTACACCTGGGGTCCGCGCGGACCCCAGAGCAGTTTTTTGCTAATTTTTAGAAATTATCAACATGCTACCAGCTCAATTGTTTTGCAAACTGATGTGGGAACCTCTGTGTCCACATTACATACAAAAATCATACATTTTGAACTTTTTCTATTTTTTGGTGAAGAAAAGAAGACAAGAAGAAATACCCGATTTTTAAACCCATTTCAGACTGAA